GGGTCCGACGAAACCGGCGTTTGCGGGGGAAATTCCAGGTCGCATCAGTCTTTGATCTTCACAAAGGCATGCATGCCAATTCATTCATAACTTCGGGCCGGGACTACCCAACCTTTTATTTTATTTTGTTTTGTTTTGCTCATCTGCATATTAATTTCTGCACATATTGATTGATGCGCTGTGGGTGAAGAAACCTCAACCCTACTCCTAACCCCCCGCCGATCATCGAGGGCTAGACCCCCTTGCATCCAATTGAACCGTTGGAATCCGCTACCTCGCCAATATATGCCAGCATAATTATCGTACACCGGCGACATGGGTAAAGCGGGCGGGTTGAAAGAGATCAAGCTGCACCATAGGCGACCGAGGAGGGTATTTGTGCAGATCGCCTTCATCGCCTCTATAGTATGGGTCTTCTACCATACCTTGTCGAGCTTGGGAGGTGAGTAAAATTTGAACGGCGACCAACTTCAACTCCAGAGGAGATGCTAAATTCTTACAGGAAAATTGTACCCTGATTTGCCAGCAGAGAAACCCCAACAGCCAAAAGAATGGGAGAACCATTCGGCGTTCACACAGAGCCTATCGAATGTGCTGGCGCTACTTCCAGACGAGCAGCGGACACAGAGGCTACTCACACCTATCGAGTCTACTGGAGAGCAGAGAATGAAGGAATTCGGAATCCGAACCCGCCAGTACAAACAACTTTTCGACGCATGGGAGAAATTGCATATCAACAAAACGAAATCCCAACGATTTGTCCAGGATGATGTGCTCCAGCGCCTCTACCAAAATCCCTCCATCGCAACCTTCCTCGAGCGTGACATGACTGAGATCGTCCATAACTATGAGTCTTATCGTTCGATAGTAACTCAGCTTTCAACCCTCCTCTTCCCATGGACAGCACCCTACTTCGCAGATCATCTCCAGCTGCGTCAACAATTACACTCCGCCCCCCGTGGACTGGTATTTTCAGCCGGAAATGACCAAGTCCGCTACCTACTCACCTCGATCCCCGCAATTCGTCGATTGGGGTGTCAACTCCCGATCGAGGTGATGTACCTCGGCGACGATGATCTCCGCCCATCATCACGGACCGCGCTGGAGCAATTACCGGGCGTCATCACGCGCGACCTACGCAAAATGGTCAATGACAAAGGCTGGGCCCTGAGAGGATGGGCCGGCAAGCCATTTGCTGTTTTGTTCTCTAGTTTCCGGGAAGTCATATTTATCGACGCCGATTCTTTGTTCCTTCAAAACCCGGAGATACTCTTCGATGACTTCGCATACCGCGAAACAGGCGCGTTGTTTTTCAAAGATCGATTGATGTTCCCAGAATCCAAGCGTGAGTGGATGCAGAAAGTCCTACCAGAGCCTGTTTCCAGCAAAGCGCAACAGACTCGCCTATGGGATGGGCAGAGCGGACATATGCAGGAGTCTGGGGTACTGGTGCTCGATACATATAAGCACTTCTTGTCGCTTCTTTTGGTTACGAGAATGAATGGGCCGGATCGAGATGGCGATGAAAAGAAGGGCATTCGTGGGGTCTATGATATGCTGTTTGGTGAGTCTCTATTCAGCTTAGTATTGAGAACGGGATTCTAACGAGGAACCAGGTGACAAGGAAACATTTTGGCTAGGGTGGGAGTTAGCCGGAGATACAGATTATGCATTCCACAACGGCAGTGTTGGTACGATCGGAGTTGCTCATGCTGAAACTCCTCGGCCAGCACCCAGTACGGCAGCTGGTCTGAGCACTCCATCTAAAGAATATACCGTCTGTGCACCCCAGTTACTGCATCTTGACCGGATGGGAAGACCCCTCTGGTTCAATGGATGGCTACTCGAGAATAAGTTTGCCAAAGCCGGGGAAAAGAGACCTGCCAAGTTCGAAGCTTATGTTCGCGAAGAAGGAAGAGTCCCAGATTGGCAATTGAGAGAGAGCAATATGGCATGCTTAACCTCAAAGAAGATGTTCAGTCTTTCACAAGAGGAAAGTGATGTTTTGGATATGACAATTGCATTTGGGAGACGATGTGAAGCATTTTAAACAGCCTCCTAGAAATTGAATAATATTATTACAACAAATAAATTGTTGAACATGGTACCATATCTAACGTCAACTGTGTGGGATTACTACCCGGAGTACGTTCATCATCTGGGCACCTCTGGCTTTATTTGCACCTTGTTTCTTACCACTGTTATTAACAACAGTGAAAATATTCAACTTCCTTGATTTTACAAGAAATGAAAAGAATTGAGGATTGCCAGGCTTGTTCTAATAATAGAGAGTCTGCGAAGGGCATGGAGCAGATCCTTACTGTGTTCAGCACACTTGTACGAGCCGGGAGAAACTGTCACTTCGGAAAAACTAGAATATAACTCAAACTTTTAACGGTTAAAATGAAAAGAGAATTGAAATTTTGACTTCCTTACTTCTATCTGCCTAACAGTGGTTCTCTGCTCTTTATCAAGAATCTTGGCGTGGACCATGGAGGCTCCTTTTGATGTTCACCGCACCTAATTGCTCCTAATTGCCCCTGTTCGCACCGGGTGGGGGCCAAAAGAAACTACCAGGCGGGGCCAATTGGCTTAAGCTTTAACTACCAATGAGTTCTTGAACTCCGCGACGTTTGTCTCCTCGTCACTGCCTAACTTTCCCTTCATATCTACAAGGGGAACGAATACCCTCGGAAAAGACAGGGGGAGAAATCACCCATCACATCATAAATGGCACAGAAATAACTACTCGGAGAATGCTTTCCAAGGGCCGTACAAGAGTCTCCAAAAGCTGCGCGAACTGTCGCGCAGTGAAGCGCCGGGTAGGTTCGGCGCTCTCTTTTCTTCGTTCTCGCGCTGGCAAAGCCAATCTTACGCGTTTTCTAATCTTCGGCAGTGTGACAAGCAACGTCCCCATTGCGGGCAATGCGTTCGTTCGCACGAAGAATGTGCTGGATACCGAGATGAATGGGAACTCATCTTCAGGGATCAAACCAACCGCACCGTAGAGCGGGCCAAGGGGAAGACAGTGAAATGGGATACTTGCGGCCCCCAACCTGCCCGTGTGCCCGATTATTACAAGACCAAAACAGAACCCCATTCAATTTTCCAATTCAGCAAACGATCCCGACAATTGACGCTATTGCAAGCCTCGGATATACCAAAGACTGTTGCCCCAGCCCAATGATCGGCACTCAACTCTTTGCTTCCTATCTCAGTGACTATTTCCCAAGCAAAGTTAGGCCCATTTGTCCGCTTGACATGTCACACACAATCATATCCGGCATTCACATGATAGCTCAGAAAGGATCCATGCTAGAAAAGGCCAGTTCCGCATTGTCGTGCGTTTTTCTTGGCAAGGTTCATCGAGATACACCTCTCTTGCAATATGGGCTTTGGCTTTATAACCAAGCAATTCATGAAATGTCAAAAGCAATCGGGCGTAAAGCTTACAGTGACGAAATTGTTTATACATGTACCTTATTTGGACAGATTGAGGTTAGGAATCTTTATCATTTCCTGAGTGCAAAGCTGATGCAAAACTAGACTCACTACTGCCCAGACTCCCTGACTGAATGGTATGCGCATATAGACGGATTGAGCGCAATCATGCAATTCCACCGTCCTGCCAATACGAATTCTCCCGTTATGACTGCTATCTATGATCAGCACCAAAAGTTTAAAGTGGTAAGATATGGCTGCTGTTAATTTTGGTCCTCTCTAGTATGCTGACACTATGATTGTAATAATAGTTACTCTCAAGACTCATGCATCTATCTGAGCCAATTGTTATGTGGCTGAGAGAGCCCGGCAAAGGGCTTTTGCATGAATTAATTCAACTTCTCACAGATTTATCATGTATTGCTGGCGCTGTTGATAGCACCGATTCTCATGATCGACAAGCTTTTCAATCACTCTTAGATGATTGCTTAGCACTTGAAGCACGGCATTTGATATATGAAGATCAATGGTGATGATGAAGACCCTCCCACATATACAAATGGTGAGTTAAAAGCAAGAATACCTCTGACAGATGATCTGTTCGGTCCGGCCTACAAGTTCGGCTCTGTTGGAGAAGCCAATTTATACATTTTCTCTCTGGACTTCTTTGTCTTGTGTTTACCCGCTCGTTTACCAACTTCATATCCTCGCCATGGCTAAAACACCCGATTGTTTGCAAATTGGCGATGGCTTCACTGATTCTCCTTCAAACGTGGCGCATCGCCTTGCCGCATTTTCTATCAGTAAGGCAGTCAGATGTCTTCCATATTGCGCACAAGAGGGCATGAATTCATGGGCCATGTTTTATGCAATGTTTTCCGCAACTCAGGCTTCGCGAGTATTCAGTCACACCCAAAACCGGGATCGGTTTCTTTGGTCCCAGGACGTTGTACCGTACTGTGCAAGTTTGGGATTTGGCCTTGCTGCTCAATTGCACGACATATGGCGGAATTATTGGTTTGAAACAGAGAAACATAATTATTACAGACTACCTTATCACAAGGAGTTGACCAAGCAATGTCAATTCTCTTGCACAAAAGGGTGGAAGGTAGCCGGCGATTTAGCATCATGATGATTTTGAAATATTGATTACTCCGAGTCCTTTGCCACTCACGGATGAAGTGCATTTACCTCATTGTCTAGTACTACTAGTGGTTAGTAGTAGCCACGGCGTATTTGATACCTTGAAAACATCTATGAATGTCCCAAAGTCTTGGTTATGAAACCCTTCTTACATTTGGAACCTTGGAAGATTAAAAAAATAAAATCAAGCTCATAAATGACTGGCGTATCAATAATGCTAGAGGTAGGTATCCTTGAAAAACAACAAACTGTATGCCTATACCCAACTCGAATCAATCTCCGAGTTGGAGTCATGCCCAAAAACAGAAGACGGGAAAAAATGATGCAAAAACGACTCGGCCCAATCCAATGCACAAAGAACAGGTATTGAGAATCCCGAGTCCAAAAGAACGATAGAACGACAAAATGACCATTCATTACCGCACCAATTCCCACTCGCAAATATATTGCCACGACATACCCACGCGACCCTCCTTTGCCAAATATTCATCTCTCGTAATCCCGCGACAATCATCCCGATCACCGAGTGTCATCAAAACAAGAAGAATCACTTTCTGACCAGGCGCACCCAGCATCCGAGCGTCGGGAACATCCACGTACCAGCATGCACCACCACCGCCGGGTCCAGACCCGGGCACATAATGGAGAGGAAGACGCTCTTCTTTGCGGCCATCAATGCCCTTAATGGCCAGCAAGAAGAGGGCTGGTTTCATCCGGCTATGATGCGCCAACGTCCAATGTTCACAAATCAATCCGAACTGGAAACGTACGGGGCTAGCCAAACTGTAAACCGAAAGACGGCCATCAGCCGGACGCATAGTGGATCGACCGATATCGTTCTTATCAGCAAAGCTATAAAACTTAATCGGAGAGCCACCAAGGGGATTATCCGGGTTTGTGCGCATATATTCCTCCCAACCGATCTCGGGCCGGCCGTCATCTCGGAAGAAATGCTCTTTGTTCGAGGGGAAATGTTTGAGACCAAACTCGTCATTTGACATGTTGAACTGTTGCGGATGGAATTCCTGCTTATACAATCCACCCGAAGGCTCGCAGATATGACCGCCGCCCCAGCAGGGGTCGACTAGTTTCCATTGACCCCCGTCGATTCTCACTGCATTCCAGGCGTGACCGGCATCGAAAGGTGGGATGGCAGCTCCTGGGGTAAGCTCTTTGTGGCCGTACCCTTTGCCGTGGCCTGATACCACAACGGCTTCAAGACCCGCCTTTGTAGCCAAGGCAGCGAAAAGCCCGGCAAATCCCTCGCAGACAGCCAGCCCGGAAGCTAGCGTGCTGCTTGGAGTAGAAGGCTTGACGCAATTGTTGAAGAATGAATACGTGTCATAAATGAGATTATGGTGCAGCCACTTGAAGATGGCTCGCGCTTTGTCCGTGGCGGAGGGGAAGGGTGCAGTCAGCTCATTAGCCAGCCAACCGATATCGTATGAAGGGAGCGTTTCTCGTGGATACCGCTCAGCGTGTGCGTCAGGGGCCGAGAAATCTCGACAGGCCATGCAGCAGGTATCTGATGTTCCAACCGGAGCGACGGGTTGTGACGAAGCGCCGAATCGCGGCTTCGTTGCCATGATCTTGGAGAGATCTGGTCGCGAACCATGTGGAATAGGCGGGGGTGTTCCATTATTAGTCGGTGCTCTATTGAGGTCCCCAAAGCCGGTCTTTCGAATACTATTAAGGTCTGATGCAGATGCCCTAGGAGGCAGTCTGCGAGCTGGAAGGGCGGGCCTTGATTCCTCTGCGTCACTTCCTCCATTTGATTGCGCCTCCAGGCCAGAAGGTCGTCGTGGTGGCAACTGTGGAACGGGAGGAGCATTTCCATTGGCCTGCGGACGAGAAGGTAAGGTAGGAGTTGAAGATTCACTTGGCCGGGAGGGTAGACTGGGACGTGATGGTAAACTAGGGCGGGAGGATGAAGAAGACGAGGAAGGCGCCGGGGCTTTTCCTCGCATGGAATTGAATTTGGCAGTGAGGCCCCCAGACAGGCCGCCGAGAGTTGAAGATGACTTGGAAGATAGACCACCGAGGGTTGAAGATGACTTGGACTCAGAACGTGGAGCCGGTGTCAGGTCGATCTCCTCCTTTGGACGTTTCGGTGGCAGCGCAGGAAGTGTAGTCTCACCCCATGCAGGCGCCTTAATTCTGCCATTCGCTGTACCCGTGGAATTCACAGAGGTTGTCGAGGCTCCTCGGACACTTGTTGCGGTGGTGTTTGCGGTGGAGTATGACGCGTCCGAAGTGACCGACTCCAGAGAAGGCCGTCGCTGTTGGCCGGTCGGCCTACGTGGCGGTAGCGTAGGTCGAGACTCTGCATATGATGGTGGCGGATCTGCACGAGACGGGGGAGGAGGGGGAGGAGCCCTCTCTCTCTTTGTAGGCAATGTTGGTGGGACCTTGGGCTTGGGCTTCAGTTCCGGCCTCGGCGATGGGATTGGAGGTGGAGGTGCTCGCGCAGGCCGGGACGTTCGATCATCTGCCGGCTGGTTGCCAATGGGCGCAGTATCCAACACGGAGCCAGTGACATGGTAGGAGGGTGGGTTGTTGGCCGACCTGCTTCGTTCGGTGGGAGGCCGGGGATATGAAGGTGGTTCAGAGGCCGCCGGGGCGGCCTGCGATTGTCGCAGGGCGGCGATCCGCTCCTGAATCGAGCCCAGCTGGGGTTCTTCGGTAGCCATAGCGTCTGCTCGTCTCTTGCAACTCCTCTGCAAGATTTGGGGAAGGCAAACAGGTTGACAGAAAGTGGAGATAAGATCAGGGAGTTATAACGACAGTCGTGAAAGTAGGCTTGGCGGGGGGCGTAGCCTTGTTGGGGCCACAATGTGCAGGCCACCAGTGCTAGAAGAGGAAACGACCGAGAAGGAGCTAACAGAACAGAGCAGACGCAGCCGATGCGAAAGAAATGGGAGGCTCAACGGGGCGGGGCTGCGTGTTTCTAAGATTGGGGGCGAGAGGGCGGGTGGAGAGAAGAGATTGTGGACCGTGGGACACCACGACTGCCAGGTACAGGTACAGGTACAGGAACAGCCACAGGAACAGGTACACTACTACTAGAACTGCAGAGATATATGGTATGCTCTACATAATTTGAACAGAATGAATGTCTGAGTATGGATTTATTTCCAGCATGTCCCCTCCATCATTCGGATTCCCAAACGCCTCGAGGCGGCGAGCGGAGCGCCGTCTTGGGAAAAGACATGAAATCAAGAGAAAAAAGAAAGAAAGAAAAAAAGGAAAAGACCTAGGTACGTCCAGATGCGGTTGGGAATTGCCCAATAAGAAAAAGAAACATAATGCACAAAGAAGGGGAAATCACCAGTTGAATCTGTCCTCGGCGATCAGTCTCATTCGGACCATGCACGATCACCCAAAGAGCCAGATACACTGCCATGGACATAAAAGAAATAAGACCGTGGAATACATCGTGGGTAGAAAAGAAAAGGATTCACAGGGAAGAGAAGGACAGAGTGGTTTAGGAGGTAGGATTGATCATCAAGAGCATCACTTCATCCCAATGTACAAAAACGTCAAAGGTCACCCAGCGGGCTATACTTAAACATTCTTATACAGGAGTAGCGGCTCACCAACATTTTCGATTTCGGGGATGGTGCATTTGAGATCGAATGCCTTCGCCAGGACAATCTTGAAGATCTGTTTGGAGTGAAATTGGTTAGCAAAGCCCGACGCCAGAGTGGCAGAGATAAGAGGTTTACCTTTTGAACATTGATGCTATGACTGGTACTGCTGAAGATCAAGCTTGCCTTCATCGCTTTTGCAAAACGTTTCGCCTGGAGGGAGATCTCCTCCTGGTCCTCACGAGGAAAGTTCACGAAATGGTCATACTTCGTACCGACCAAGAAAGGGATGGCGGTCTTGTTAAATCCCCGGCCTTGGCGATACCATTCCTTAATGGAGTTCAACGTGCTCTTGCGGGTCAAGTCGAACATAAATAGAATAGCAACGGCGTCATTGCAGACCAGCGGCAACATGTTGACGAATTCGCGTTGACCGCCAAGATCCCAAATAGAGAAGGTGATCTCGGTATTCCGGATTGAAATCGTCTTTTCCATGAAATTCACACCTATAATGATGTCCCGTGTTAGAGCTGGAGTGGGAAAATGATATTTTGAACAACACTTACCGAGAGTCTGAATATAATCTTCGTCCCAGCTGCCCTCCACATACTTGACCATGAGACTGGTCTTACCGATCTGGGCATCTCCTACCATACCCACCTTGATAACAACACTGTTCTTCGAAGACTGACTTGGCTGTCGCTGAGCAGCATCCGAGGGCTGCGGCTGCGAGAAACCGGGGCGTTCTGTGCCACTAGAAACACCAGAGCCGGGTCTCGAGGCAGAGTGAAGTTGAGGCTGCTGGTTCAATGAAGGCGAGGAGTTGAGGCGAGAAGCATGTTCGGGATCTTGGGGGTGGTATTCAGGAGCGGCATTGTGGAAATCGGTCGATCGGGAATGATAGTGGGCTTTGGAATCGCTGTTATAGCCGTGATCAATGGCCGGGCGGCTGGCGGGACGCTCTGCGACTGGCTCCTCAACATTGACGCTGACGGCAGCCGGCTGCTCGACGGGTGGTTCATGTGATTCCAAAGGTTGTTGTTGTTCTTGTTCAATTTGTTCGATTTGTTCAATTTGTTCAGGCTGAGCAACAGGTTGAGGTTGGAAGTCGGAGACTGGCGCTGATGCTGGTTCTTGTGCTGACTCTTCAACCGGGAGCTGCTGCGGCTCTTCGACCGCAGGAGCCTCCGGGACTGGCTGCTGTAGCGGGTCCATTATGATTATCGGGAATCAGATCGGGGAAAGGGTATCGCTTTTCTATTCCTTGCGAGTGGGACCTGTTCACGGCGGCTTCGTTAATATCTGCGGGGAAAGGAGACCCTGTGATATATCACCCACCGATTCCCAAGGGAGGATCCAATGAGATGAAAGATGAGGCCGATTGCAAGCAAGTGGCCAATTTCGACGCAATCGAGATTCGTAGGAAGCTGAACAGGTCAGATGGGATCTCTAACTGTGCGACTTCAGAGGGGGCAGATTGGGAGCACAGAATCGGGTAGTGCGTAAACACGAACCTGAGAAGCAGCGGTAGCGGCAGCGGTGGGCGGGAAGGTGACGAGGGAGAGGGAGAGGGAGAGACGGCCCAAGTTGCAAAGGAAATGAGATCGGACGAGATGCAAACGAGGGCACGGCAAACGCAGGAACACGCAAGGACTAGAAACTTGCGACTTGCGACAACCAGCAACCTGCTTCAGCTCTCGTCGAGGCGGCCACGATCTGCGCTAGTGCCCGATTGAGTTTAGTGTTCCCTCCGGGCGGGCAGTCACTTCTCATCAATTTTTTTTTTTCTTATCGTGCTTCCCCTCTTGAACTCACCCCGCCCTTTTGAAGAGGCTCCCATTTGTCTTTTCAAAATGTCCAAGAGAGCTGCGGATGTCTCGGACGAGCAGTCGGCTGCGCTGAAGGCTGGCGAGCGTCCCATTGTCGATGCCACCCCGGACGAAGTGGGGGAGTTTGAAGATGAGTTTGAAGACGAATTCGAGAGTGAAGATGAGATCCTAGAGGCTGGTGTCGATGGTCGCCCCGATGCTGAGCGCGAGGAGGAAGAGAGAGGTATGTGGAATACTCCTGCCCATTGGTACAATGACTCTGTGAACTGACTAGGAACTAGCGGAGGCTATGGAAGTCGACAAGGAAACCTTCATCCCCGGACGCACAAAACTGGCCCCCGGCGAGACACTTTCGCCCGATCCTTCTACTTATGACATGCTTCACACTCTCAGCACACCCTGGCCATGCCTGTCCTTCGACATTGTGCGCGACTCGCTGGGCGACAACCGCAAAACCTTCCCCGCAACTGTCTACGCCGTCGCCGGAACCCAGGCTGAGGGAGGCCGTGCCAAGGACAACGAATTGATGATTCTGAAGATGAGCAGTCTGAGCAAGATGGAGAGGGACAACCAGGACGAGGATAGCGACTCGGATGACGACGACGACATGGGCGAGCCCATCCTTGAGCACAAGTCCATTCCCCTCGGCTCGACAACGAACCGCATTCGCGCCCACCAGACGCCCTCTCAGTCCGCTGATTATTCGAAGCCCCCTCAAACACTCACAGCTACTATGTTGGAGAACTCGCAGATTCTGATCCACGACGTCACCCCCTACCTTTCCAGCTTCGATGTCCCCGGTACCATCCTTCCCCCCCTCCGCCTCCAAACCTCTTTCCACTCTTCGCATGCACAAGTCGGAAGGTTATGCTCTGGACTGGTCTCCGCTCAACCCTCTCGGCAAGCTCCTGACTGGTGATAATGACGGTCTGATCTACGCGACCTCTCGCACCGAGGGTGGCGGCTGGGTGACCGATACCCGGCCATTCACCGGCCACAGCTCTTCGGTTGAGGAGCTCCAGTGGTCGCCCAACGAAAAGAACGTGTTTGCTTCTGCCAGCAGTGACGGTAGTGTTAAGGTATGGGATGTGCGATCCAAGTCTCGCAAGCCCGCGGTGGACATCCATATCTCCAAGACCGATGTCAATGTCATGAGCTGGTCGAACCAGACCTTCCACCTTCTCGCGACTGGCGCGGACGATGGCCAGTGGGCTGTCTGGGATCTGCGACACTGGAAGCCCAATGCCGCGGCCCCCAATGCTCAGATCAGTGCTGCGCCCGTTGCTTCATTCGACTTCCACAGGGAGCCTGTGACAAGCATCGAGTGGCACCCAACTGATGACAGTGTCGTTGCCGTTGGCTCGGCCGACAACACTGTCACCCTGTGGGATCTGGCTGTCGAGCTGGATGACGAGGAGAGTCGCCAGGCTGGCATGGCGGATATTCCACCGCAATTGCTGTTTGTGCACTATATGGATTCGGTGAAGGAGGTACACTGGCAAGCCCAGATGCCGGGTACGCTGATGGCCACTGGTGGTAGTGGATTTAGGTATGTTATGCGGGTTCGCCCTTCCTTTTACTTTATACCGGATACTAATCTGTACTTTTCTTCTTTGCGCAGTGTCTTCAAGACCATCAGTGTCTAAGCGAATCGAGAGTTATCTCTTCGACCAAAAGTATTAACGTGTGATGTCCTGTTCATATACCAGTCGAGTACAGTTAGAGGTGCCCGGCACACTGGAATGGATTATGTATTCGCCATCAGAGAAGAAGAGATGAGCGACATGAACAAAAAATAATCCTTTTTTTATCTATATTTTTCCTATACATTTTTGGCGTCCGTCGATAGAAATTCATTTTCCATTTTCTGATCAACTTGAGCTGTTCAGGGTAACTGAGGTAGTAAACAGCCAATCCGATCGTAGCGGAAACCACCCACGCCTAATTCCGCCCGCGAGAACCTCGGCCGAGGCGATACTGATACTGGCACATAGAGAGGGAGGGGCAGTCCAAGGTGAATGCTTTGATGTAATACCCGGGACCTCCAATGCAATGCACAACATCCAAGACCCCCACTAGCGTGGCAGAAAGCTCCCTGACAGGAGGAGGGTCCTCCGGACGACGCACCTGCGTTACCTGTATCCGTATCTGTAGGTGTACCTGTACCTCAGCCTACTGGTACACCTAGCAGTAAGATGCAGCAGGGGTGAATTCCTCGTGCAGGATAGCACTAGTGTGATCCCAAGCTAACCCGCCGAGGTAAAGCGTGAGTAGGAGACTGAATCCAGAGTGGACGAGGGTGTCAAGGGCCGTGTCAGATCGCCGTGCGCCATTTCGCTCGGCGCCGTTGTGGGCCCGAGTCGGGTGCGACTTGGCGCCAGTCGGTTCTCTGATCCTGGTGTACCTCCAGTCTAGATTAGAGGTACTGTACGAAGTACTCGTACATTACTCTCATGTATTGATGGGTGAATGCACAGATACGGAGTGCAGCCTGCAGAATACTTCCCGGTAGAGCGCTTTGCAAGGCGATCGCGATCGCCTCGCTCTACTCTATGTATAGAGAATGAGGGCTTGAGGGTGTGGCGAGTAGATGTGCTGGTGGAAGCTGATTCGAACGCGATGATCCGCCATTGGTGTCTGTGCGAGTTCAAGTTGACTAACGCTGGAACTTATTATGTCTGTCTGTCTGTATTGGAGTACGCTGTCGGAGTTTGTTTTGGTGGACAAGCAACCGAGATTCGCCGTGGAACAAGTGGGTTCATAGGCAGGTATGACATGCATGGATTTGGATTTGGATTTGGGGAGAGCAATTAAGTACTACTCGGTAAATAGTATGTATAGACCGGATGCATGTCGTTTCCGACTCTCGGGCGTGTTCATCTCGACCAGTTCCAGTGCCGGTGGACAGAGTACCTGTGTTGCCTTTGATTATTCATTCGTGCCAGTAAATCAACTCTTCACGCAAGGTACCATCTGCCGTGTACCTATATGCGACAGCTAAGTATAAAAGATGGGATTAAACCAAGTACATCTACATCCTGTGCTCCATGCATGCAGTAGCACTTGGCTGTACGGATTACATACTCAGTGTATTCTTTGTACTTACATACGAGTAACTTGAATGTATCTACACGCACTCGTATCCACGGAGAAAGCTACATCCGACCCAAATACCACTACTGCACGACGAGAAAACCAGGCAATCACATCAGATCTAGCCGCTGCACGTTCTATGGAGATCATGCACTACGACCAAGTAGAGTTTGGTGGATGTCCATCGGCATTTTTCCGGTGAATCCTGGATAGTCGAGCTTTCACGACGCATTCTTAGTACAAACTAGTACGAGTACGCACTTCGTGCTCGCCTCGGGCGATGTCGCAATGTCGTGATATCGCGATTATCTTGATTAAGACACCGGGCCGGGCCACTGGCCATCATCGACCCATCGAACTAGTAGTCTGGTAGTATGTATGTAGAGAGCAAGCTGCGAAGCGCCAGCCTTGAAAGCGTATAGTAGTCGGATCCACATAGCGTGTTTGGGATGCGCTCATGGCTCGTTCCTAATAATAAGTTCTTCACACGAATGGAGATGAGATAGAGCTGGGTATTGGACAGAGCGTTGGATAGACTCTGGAGCTGCTGGGGCTACGTAGATCCATCTTCAACAATGTGCTCTTGTAGGTGCAGAGTACATAGGTGCTATGCACTTGCCACCAATTATCCGGATCCAGGATCTGCATTGCCCTCTGTCCTCTGGTCTGATCATGTCTTTTGATTGATTGGCCATCATCTGACGATACATGTACCTACATACTGTACGTTGGAAGGTTGATCGCCGCGCAGGGACTCAGATGCGGGAGCTAGGACCAGTGCCTATACCTGGCGAGTAATGAGCGTGGACCATATGCACCTTCACATCATCGTGTTCCGTGGAGTGGTTGAATGTGGAATTACCAATTCATCCGGCTGTACTCCGTTCTCCGGAAATGATCCCTCTGATCTCATCTTTTTTACTCAATGCAGAGAAGGGTTCAGCATGATCCGAGTTGGCCCGTGTCGAGACCGACCGTGAACGTCAAGAGTAGCTACAATACTAACTACTATCTAACCAGAATCAACTAAATTTCAGCTGCCCGGGAAACCCATTTTCACTTTTCTACTCCGTCCCACACATGCTTATCTATCGAGTGATCATTCCCAGAAGAGAAGCCCAGATGAAAGCTAATCAAGAACCAGTAGGGTGACATCGCCGGGTGGAATTCCTTTGTTTCGGTCGCTGGTCTCCACCATCAAGGAAGGCGGCCGTCTAGACTCCACGAATGGCGCGCGTTTCAAGTTAAGGCTGACCAGTTGATTTCCTCTGCGCTCGGCATTACTATCTTACAGAATGCCGGCCTTCGTCACTCTCAGCCACAGTAATAAGCGCACCGCGGCGTCGCTAGGGCGTTGTTCAAGAGCACTGTGTAACAGGAATCCGATATACTACCGGTACTCCGTACTCCTACAAAATGGGGTGGGTATCTACCAACAGTGACGGTCAAAATAGTACTTCAGGTATGAAATACGGAGCATAACAAAACTGCATGTTCCAAGACTTCCTTATCGTCTCTTGCGTGGGAATTGCGGATCATGGCCTGAGCCTGACAGGAGGGATCCTCTTGAATCCACAATCCACCCCTGCCGCAGTGGGACGGCCCCGGTCATCCTCGTTATCGCCCGTAGGCTATGACGCATAGGGCCGCAGGAGGCTCAGAAGGTCCACCGATTGATGGCGAGGTCAGGAGCTGTAACCTGTCGCAGGGCTCGACTCGTAATGGATCAAGAGCTCCCCAGCTGATCCGACGACCAGGGGTGGTGCATGGCTAGACAGGGCCCATTTCTTCACCACGGAGACTTCCCTGTTCAAGCTGGTCTGGGGTGACCAGTAGCCACTAAATGGCGGCACGGGCTGAAGTCCGATCATCTTGGACTAATATCCGAGCCGCGCACTTGATGCCATCTTGCACAAGTGGCGAGCACAGGCCACGAGATGATCAGCCAGGACGGAGAGGTGACCATTCGGAGAATTTTAATCAAGTTTATTCATTATACAATGGCATGAATGTGTTTCATTTCATAGGTGGTGTGGTAATTACTGTCCTGTTAGAGGGCAACCGGTTTAACTCCGAGTCGGCTGGCAATCACCCATAAATGCGAACGTGGGTTACGCGAGAATGTTGACCTCGAGCTGCCTTGCTACCTACATGCTTGTATACTTTGTCAAGAGTCAACGTATGTACTTCGGACGCGACGGACTTCTAAGCCGGAGACTAGAATGTGTCCATGGTGTTTGTGGCGTTGACTGGCCTTGCCTAGGGCGCCTCGTCGTCTGAAACGGTTAGTGTCTGCGCTCACAAGGGATTGACTTCCATTGGGGACCTGCATCGCATTGAAAGGAAAAAAAAAAAAAAAAACACGAGTACAAAGAAATGCCCAAAGACTTCGAATCCATACGGATTACGGAGTACTATGCATTCAATTGTTACCTCGTGTTCGCACATTCATGCAGGTGTGCATTCCACAATGCAGTTGCACAACCCTGTACAAAAGTAACCACTGGCATCCTCTATGTTCCTGTATAACTAGTATTGTTAACTGGTTATAATCATAGTATACTCTGTACTTGTGGTGACAATTAAATCCTCATATCCGATGCAACGAGTGTTAATCATTCAAGTCAGGCGGCCAACGCCAGCAGCCACTACTCCTAGGCCCATTCTAATCTGGGGAGTATTATCAAGCAAGCATTATTCTGATCCCTTGGGCAGTGATCCAGTGGCTTGCCGAGCGACCGTTTCATTTGCCTATTTCAACTCGTCTCGGGTCACCTGCAGCTCTCAGAGACTCGCCCTAGTGGCTAGTTTGACTTAGCGCGCATGGGCACGTCTGGGGATTCTGCAAACGAGCTGTCCGTGCGAGGACGGGTGTCCAGGAAAGCGGGATTAGCGCTAGGAAAATCATGATCAAATAGGATCAATCAACATGGAGCCGGCGGCATTACTCCGTGCGATATCTTTGAGATTGAATTGAAACAAAGGACCACTGTACCAGTTTAGCCGTGGCAGAGCTAGGGACGGCTCGCAAGTCTCTCGGTACCATTTTATGTGGCCCCCGAAGTTGAGCACGCGCTCGCATTTGCACACCACTCTCCCTCCGCGAGGATCCGGAAATTCCCAAGGGCCCGCGAGACGAATCACACGGGGGGGATCGTCACGCACCGGCACCCCCAGTTCCAGCCGCATACTCGATCCATTGATGGGCCGCGCCAATGGTTGATCCCAATCAATCCTGGGGACGGCCTCGCTCGTACGGCCAAACTCAAACCGGGCTGCAACGTGCGTCGAATGTTGAGCGGGTGGGATTCTAGAAAGTTTGGGTCCGGGGTTTCTCCAGCTTCAATCAAAGAATGTCCGGATGCATCTATCCTCCCTATAGTATATTTATGGATACCATCCCACGTTTGTTTCATTTTGCCACACTCGAACCACGAGTGAGACACGCCATGTGCGCAAGAACCGGAAGAAATGCACCAGCGGCACACCAACCGACACCAACAGTGGATGAAGCCGGCAGCAATTACAGTGCAGGACAAAAAGCAATAGTACAAAGTCCAGAGTGCTCCGTACTCCGTACCATAGGTAACAAACAAAAGTAGAAGACCTATCGCGAGTAGGACAATCCCCCACACGAACCCTTTCCGGGCAGAGCGTCTCTCCCCCACAAAAATGGCGCATGGCCTCTTAATTGGGGAGACATTTGCGGACCCATCCGCCAAAGCTCAGCGCCCCAGCCTCGCAAGTGGATCCGATGGGGTACCTGGCCACATAATAGGCAACGTCCAGCGTTCCAGTTCCCAGTTCCAGCGTGCCAGTGTTTCTAGTCTGCCAATCGTGGCTCCAGCACGGAGGATGGGGGAGAGACTTTGCCTTTTTGCCCCTTACCCTAGTGCTGGCGGTACGAGGGAGTCCGCACTTAGGCTAGATATGTACCGAGATCGGGCTTCTGTACTATAGTTAGTAGTATGCTGTAAGCAAGCCTCCAGCGTACCGCGTACAGCGTACAGTACTCCGTACGGAGGACGGTCGTTCATACATACCGAGTACAAGACCAGGGCCGTTTCTCGCCGATCGCGGTCACGAGGAATTGCATTCTCGTATGGTGGTGGCAGGGACGAATAGCAAGGCAGCCCCACTGCAGGCTAATGCAGCTGGAATCCGTGGGTAGAGGATGGAGTAGTATACTACTCACTGGCATACCTAGGTACTCGTACAGATATTACGGACATTGAGCCACTGTCCACTCAATCAAGGATCAACATTAATCATATATATGTACTCGTATATGGTGTCCATTAAATCTGGTCCCTCTATAGCCTATATGTATGAAATACTCAACAGATATTGGAAGTAGGAGATCGAGATATTTCATCATCCCCCTATGACCAAGTCTACTTAATGGGCAGGTACAGGTGTTAGGGTGCAGGGTGTAGGCCAGTGCGTGCGCCCAAGATTGGGGCTAGCCCACTTTGAGTATCATCCTGGGTAATCGCTGGATTGTGATTGGTGGTATCTGCCGCTGGTCCCACTCTGGGGAACCGGTACTGAAACGGTCACAATACACTTACACTACTGTGCTCCATACATCCTGTATCATGCTGGACTCTACCCTTTACCTCAAGGTACGCTGTATACCCCAACTACACTCCCGTGCGTGGCGCGTGGCATCTAACACTGTTCCACCTCATACAATACATACAGTACACCCAACGGCAGGCCCACCCCCAGGCAACGTGTGTATCTCCCGACTGCACGTACCTCCACGAGGCTCCGTTACTGCCACCCCCCTCTCGGTGGTTGTGTCTGGGTATGTTAAGCCAGTACCTCGCTCCAAAGTCAAAAGGTTGAGAGGCAACTTTCGATCAACTTCAACCTCTCCTTTCATCCTTCCCCTGTTCCTGGCTTCCTACCCTCCCCCTTCAACTCCCTCCCTTTGCTCGTGGTTCCCTCTGCCTCCGACTGTGTCGCGCCATTCGCATCGACCTCTTATCTGCAATTGCCCGCTATCTCGGTTATCTCCGGCTTATCCTACCGGCGGTCCATGCTTCTTGACAAGACGGCCACCGACTGCCTCGAAGCTTGACAACTTGACCTCTCGCAATTTGCTCCATTCTCCGTGAGTATTCTTCAGCTTCCGATTCTACTCTGTCCGAGTCGCATCATCCATGTGCCTTGTGCCTTGAGCTGAACGACCTCAACACTAGAATCCCCCCTCCCTCCAGAACGAACCCGCCCACCGGCCGCAGGTCCCCATATCCTGTCTACATACGAATAGCTCTCCCCTTGGCAACTCATTGAATTCGAGACGCTTGACTGTACCCTTGGTGGAATTATAGGGAAAGAGAAAAATTCCCTCTACCACTGCCAGCCACCTGTTGTACAAGCTGGCTTGCGCTTCCTGGTGGGTCCTCCTGTTACGCTTTCCGCTCTCCGGCACGCAGTCCACGATAAGCACCTCACTCGCTCCCCTGGGCCCGGCCGACTTGAAAGACTGGCGCTGCCGCACCCTTTTTTCTCGTCGCAGTTTCAAAGAAAAATAACTAATCTGATGTCATTCCGTCCCAAATAGTCGTTGATGCGACTAACCCTCACGATAATTTCTATCGTCCGTTGTACCGCCCCGTCATCTTCTACCCAGTGACGAAAGTGTACACTCGATTGCGTCTTGACGCAACCTTGGACGACACATCACCCTTTTTCCCTTTTCCTCTTTTTTTTTTTAACGTGACCAGTGTTTTTTTCGACACTTCGGTCCAAAAGGGAACAACTTCTCTCTCCTAGGATGCTGTTAGGTGCTATGGTCGCTCAACATCCCGATCACAGCCCCCAAATCGCAAACCTCGCTAGTATTAACGAGATCCCTGGAAACATGCCTGGTAAGCTCTCACTCCACCACCACTCGCAGTTCCTGGAATTCTGAACTCCTACCGGTAGCTCCATCAAAGGAGAACAAGAAGGCCGAGGCCAATGGCCAGGCCGCCGCTGCCAATGGCAACATCCCTCCTCCCAAAACTGATAAGCCGAGACCACACGTCTGTACCACTTGCGGTCGCTCATTCGCCCGATTGGAGCACCTGAAGCGCCATGAACGTTCCCATACCAAGGAGAAGCCGTTTGAATGCCCCGACTGTGCGCGATGCTTTGCCCGCCGCGACCTCTTGCTGCGACACCAGCAGAAGCTACACATGACCTCCACCCCGTCCTCCCGACCCCGAAATGGTCGTCGTGAGAGTACTTCTGGAGCCCCGGCTGGTGCGGGGGCCAATCGGGTGCGCAAGAATTCCATCGCTAACAACTCGTCATCATCATCAATGCGCCCCAGGGCCAACACTATCAGTCACATTGGTGGATCCGCCTTAGGACTGGCCGAGGGAGCTAACCCATCTTCCGCCCCGAGCCAATCGGGTCATGCATACCACCCCAGTCTAGGATCGTCGGTCGGATCAAGCATTGACTACAGGGGTTTCAGCTCAGGACATCCTCCCGTGAATGGATTGGCTAAGCTTGAAACATCTGGACTCCCGCTGGATATGTCTGGTGGTCTTCGGACGGCTCCCGTTTACGGGAGCTTTGACATGGGCATTGATGGTATGCTGATGGGTCATGGCAGCACAATAAATCCCGCACAACTTCATTTCGCAGGTTCTCCCCAGGGCTTTGGTGACTCCCCATCTTCCCCATTCGGCCACAATGCCCACGGTATGCACCCAGCAACGGAGCCCATGATGGACGAGGACATGAATTTCGACTGGATGAATGGGTTCGATGCGGCTGTGGCGCTTGGAAATGGTAACGACTCGGTCATCGATGAGTCGTCACCCTCTGCCATGAGCACAGGTAGCCAGAGTGGGATCAGCGAAGCCATGCT